TGGTGTCTCTGGGGCCTTCGCGCGGTCCTCTGCGGGCCCTCGTGAGACCACGGATGCGAAGGGCACCTAAGACGGGAGAAAATGTGAAAGCGTGGAAGAGCCTTTTGTATTGCAGCGCTGGTGTTCAGACGTAAGCGGCGCGGAAGCATCGGGGCCGATTTTGGGTTTCTCGGGGAGGGTCTTGGAGGGAGTTGCCTATAGAAGGCGTATTGGATGCACTGTGTGAGACTGCTGGGGGCCTTGAGGGAGCTTCAGAGGGGCCTCTTCGGGGTCAGTTGGACGCCTCCTGGGGCCTTCAGGCCTCTCAGGGGCTTCTGGGGGCCTGCTGTTTTTCTTCCCGGAAAGGGCGGGGGCCCAGGGTTCTCTTTTAGTGGGTAAACCTGTCCCCCGGTGCCAACTTGAAGGAGGCCGGCGAATTTTTTCCCGGAAAGGGCTCAGGCCCAGGGTTCTCTTTTAGTAGGTAAACCTGTCCCCCGGTGCCAACTTGAGGGAGGCCGGCGAATTTTTCCCGGAAAGGGCATGAGCCCAGGGTTCTCTTTTAGTTGGTAAACCTGTCCCCCGGTGCCAACTTGAGGGAGGCCGGCGAATTTTTTCCCTGATAAATAACGAGGTCGAAGGAGGCCGGCGAATTAAAATTTGAGGATGTCTCGAGCGAAACGCTTGTTTTTCAGAATTTCTTGAGGATGTCTCGAGCGAAACGCTGGTTTTGCAGAGTTGAGGATGTCTCGAGCGAAACGCTTGCTCCGCAGAGTTTGCCGAGGATGTCTCGAGCGAAACGCTTGTTTTGCAGAGCCGACCGCGACGCGGAAAAGCCGACCGCGACGCGGAAAAGCGCCCCGCGCGAAGGAATTTCGATGATGTCTCGACTAATTCGTTTGTTTTTGTACGATTTCCTGAAATTTTGGCAGGATGTCTCGAGCGAAATGCACGACCCCACCCTAGCACGACCATACCCCAGCACGACCACACCCCAGCACGACCAGACCCCAGCACGACCCCACCCCAGCACGACCCCACCCCAGCACGACCATACCCCAGCACGACCACACCCCAGCACGACCCGACCCCAGCACGACCCTACCCCAGCAAGACACACCCCAGCACGACCACACCCCAGCACGACCTCACCACAGCACGACCACGCCCCAGCACGACCACGCCCCAGCACGACCACGCCCCAGCACGACCACGCCCCAGCACGACCACGCCCCAGCACGACCACCCCCCAGCACGACCACCCCCCCATCACGACCACCCCCCAGCACGACCACCCCCCAGCACGACCACACCCCAGCACGACCACACCCCAGCACGACCACACC